CCACACACAATTTTATTTATTATAATTTAATTAAAAGTATAAAAGTTATTTTCTAAATAAAATCTCACAACAGCCGAGAAAGTTACGCAACTCGTTAGTTTTGATCGATTCTTTTATAAAAACAGTTACATTTCTCGAAACGAACGATCTTTTACTCAGTTTCAATATAGAAAAAATCTATATTTGATTGTTTCGTGTAAAATACATACAGGATATTTTCTATCGGTCAGGTAAATTCATAAAATTCGCTTATTTAATATACAAGTTACTTTAACGTTTACGTAACTAAACTATAACACGCATATTTAATATAACCAATGTTCGATGACGTCAGGTAACAGCTTTTAAAATGGCGTCAGATTAACGAAATATTACGAAATTTAGTAAAAATTGCGCTGTCGGTCAATCAGAAAATTCGTCGGAAAATACTGGACGAACGAGAGAAATGATTTGTTCTAGTTTTGGGGTGGCGACGTTCGATTATAGAAAATCTCGCTTTCAACCCCTTGTGGAGAATGGAAACCGAAGACAGAGGGTGATAGGGAGTCTCTCGATCCCAATCCGTCGTCATTCCGGGGATAGAAACCTAAAAAATGCAGATATTTAGCCTAAAAATTTAAAAAGAATCCATGACGTCAATTGCATTCGAATTCGTTACGCGCTTTTCTAATCTCCATAGAAACGGCAACAATTGCTGTTTCTATTGTTGCAACACGATTTTGCGTCACTTTGCACGTTTTTCGCTTGCTGTGCGGACGTGTGCGCTCTTTGCTCCTGTTTTCGCTGTGTTTTTTGCCTTTTTCAAGTGTTCTTTTCAACCAGAACGTGGTTTTAAGAAGACTTGTGGACGCCGACGTTATACCAAGTAATATTTTAACTAGAATTTATCTAGCTGTAAGATTTTATTTTCGTTTCGTTTAATCCAACTTTCGGAGACGACATCGGCGTTTAAATCTGCCGTCGCTTGTGAATTAGTACTTTTAAACGAACGACCGAAGCGCCGAAAACGGATTAAGTATTTGCTCATTGGTTTATTCTCGTAATTAATTCATTTATATTTTATAAACACGGTTAAAGAATAAGGATTATTTATAGAAATTCAATTAAAAATTACTTAATACTAACTTTAAATACGAATTCCATCGTAATTTTAACTAAAATATACTCTGGTAACATTGATGGACGGAGACCGTATTCTGAAGCATGGGATGTTCGTTCGACGGGTCAAAAAATTCGCCCTTTGACCTCCGACTTCTCCATGCAATTTATGTATTAGTTACAACGCTTTTCAATGGCTTATTTTGCCAGAATTAAATTGTCTGCAAACACATCTAATACTAATACACTTAACAGTTATCTATACAGGCTGGACACAAAGAATTCTTTTCCTTAGGCTCTTTGTCTCTTTTCACAAGGTGGTCTGAGTGCAGTCGATCTTCCACACTTACGTAACATTTAAGTGGCACAATGCTTTGTGCCACTTAAACGTTCGTGTCCCGAATGGCGAGTTGGGCTGTGGGCACGTTTCACTTCTTCCTACGTTTGTCTTGTGTTTCGGTCGACTCGTTCGCAATTTCTTTGCACGAAACTCTTTTAAATGCCGTCGTTGCGTTTATGTGACGTACACGTTAGGGTAAATTGCTCTAGAACGAAACACTTGTTACGACTCGGGCTCGAATGCCTTTTCCTCATGGCTACGTGCGGCGTGTCTTTAATTTACTGTCGTACAAGTACAAATTACACGTAAGAGAGTTTCTTCGTTCCGGGTCGGTCGTCTCTACTGCAAATACAGTTGGAACGTTCTAGCAATTTCCGGTTGCTATCCGAATTCCGATTCGTCGTGAGTATAATCTTGAACTTTTTCTGCGTTAATCGGCCCCAGAAGACATCTCGGCACATCGTTCGATGGTCCGATTCGAATCTTTTAGATTTAAAAAGGCAGCTGCGGTGAGCATTTTGCTTTTCTCGCAAGAATTTAGACATTAATTTAAGCTTTTGTTTTAATCGACTAATTGCAAATTTTCTTTTTTTCAGAATGAAGATGTTGGAGTGGTTTCGCCGGAGGTTCCGACGGAAGAATGCGGTGGCGCCGGAGGGAGGGGGTTCCTCGGACGGCTCCGATGAGACGTTCGAGGACCGTGGGCTCGACTGGGTCTCTGTCGAATCGATTAGTTCGGTGTCGTTGGAGACCGTCAAGTGGGAGGCAGAGCGTGGTGACGACCTTCCCCCAGTGCGTGTGGCGTGGGACTCTCCCGGAGGCGGGAGAGTTCTGAGTCCATTCCACTTGGCCAAGGTCGTCAGGGATCAGCCGGCCCTAGGCCTTGTTAAGGAAGGCATAGGGAGTGACGAGTCCTCTTGGACTTCGTCTGTTTTCGCGTGGTCTGCCTCTCAGTCCGCGCTCGCGAGCTCGTCGCCATCGTCTTTCCGAAGTCGGAACGGGGAAGCATTGGAGGAGAGCGCCGCCAAAGTCGAGGAACCGCGGTTTTGTTGCTGCGGGTGGCTGCGGTTCCCTCGGCCTAGGCGGTGATCCTCTTCGATTTTCCCCAACTTGTCCTTTTCACCCGGATTCGACACTTTTCACCCGGACATGACCTCTTTACTCAGACGTGGCCTTCTGTTACCCAGATGTTCTCACGGACTTGTCTCCCGAACGTGACACTCGGTCGATGACAACGGATTTGACTCCCGATTGTGACCACCAGGACGTGACACGTTTCTTCACCGGACGCGACATTCGACTGACCTTTCTTCCCAAACAGTTGTTACGAGGATTGAGCTTCCGGTTAAGTTAGGTTAGGTTAGGTTAGGCTAGTTCAGGTCCTTCGCTCTCCTCATGACACTGTTCGGGAAGAAAGACTATCTTATAAAGGTAATAATGTTGATTTTAGATAATAAATGAATCAACTTCTCCTTTTCTCACTGTCTCTGTGTTTTGTAGGAACATTTGGGAGGGAGAAGGATCTCCCTCCCCAACTTTACAACGAAGAGGACGAAGTGGCCATTTATCGTACAAGTGAATGTTTTCCGAAATCTCCGATGGTAAGAATGCTTTTGTTTCATTTTTTAACACATCTTATTCTCGTATCGTAATTTACTGCTTTTCTGTTTTTAGACATGCCGAAGATGTTCTTGGATCGCACACACACACACGCATGCATATAACATCACTGTACACGAAGATATACACTGTTTAACCTTTACTCGAATTATCGCACTCACGCATTTACATGTCAATTGTCACGTTCTGTGTAATTCCACACAATGAAACAACCCAAACACACGCTTCCCACAAATCCAACCCCTGGGTCCTCGTCCCGGTAAGTGGAAACGCCAATTTTAAAGATTAAAACGCTTTAAATTGGCGGCCGAAGGGGCTCTGGTAATCACATATCTTGCATGGATTAAATAGAATTTCAGACATTAGCATCAATAATGGCTTTGTGATGAATTTTTCTGTTAAATTTAGTGTGGTAAGAAATTATCTGCGCACAAATCTCGATCATAGTATTGCTAACTCTTACTTAAGATCATTAAAGATCTTAATCTTTATACCCATTTTTGGTTTCTCAAGATCCACAATGTGGGCTACAGGACTGTATGTCACGGGATTTGACAGACTGCCCTGGGTTCCTCAACAGCCCGAATCGATGTCAGAGCAGTAGACCGAAGTCTTAACCACTCAAACATCCAGCTGTCACCTTGTTATAGTAGGTCTTGAAAATATAACAAGTAGCGACACTTCCATATAAACAGTTTCTTATTGTACACTAGACATTTGCACATAAATTGTTTTTAGTTGGTCTGCAATGTACCATATCTCTTACACAATATATTATTTCGGTGACCATTTTGTTCACGACGTGTTTTAGGATCTTAATAGCCAATTATTTCTAACGCAACCGGATTTCAACAAATCTAACCAAACTCGGGCCAAAGGTTATACATATAACACATAGGAAAGATGGATGGGAGGCCGACAAAGTCACACTTGGATTGACTCAGGGCTGATTTTGGTAGGTATGCAGTGCGTGCATGCACGCTGGCGGCCGATAGTGCTCTAAAAAATATAATTTTTTATACTGTAAATATAATAATCAACTGGCTCCTGCCGGTCGTTATCTAACTCCTTTCGGGGAAGAACTTTTTGAATGATGTATAGTTAATCGGGACATGCCGCCCCTAAGCTTTCTATATTTGGTCTTAAGTTTCATGTATCTCCGTTTCTCTGTTCTCGAGATTAAGCAAGTTAATAGCTTGAGAAACTCCAAAAAATGGAAAGAATATTGAATATGAGTGCGAAGAGATGGTAAGCAATTTAAAATCAGCGTTGGGAAGAGTTTTGTTTAAAATCTAAGTATATATCGTATACCTTATAATCCTGGATAGAGAAGGACTTGCATCTTTTCCACCTACGTACTGCACTGTACAGTACATGCAATCAAATGGTTGAGTGATCAGAGACAAATCCATTATTAACATTAGTACACAATATAAAATAAATATTGAAAATTATAACAAGATAGTTACGGCTAATAGATATATTAAATTTTAATTAGTAGATGTTATCAAAGCGAGAATTGGCATTTAGAGGGCGTAGAGAATCTATTAAATCTAATATAACAGAGTTAATTATATTGAACTTGCTTATTTATTAAGTGTGCTAGATAATCTATTAATTAAAAATACATTTAGAGAAGTCTACGGTTTTTACTTGCTTATCGAACAAACAAATACGAATGGACCCTAGACCATCACTGACTGGCTGCCCCTGGAAGTCGACTTCTTACAGAAACACAGCTTCCCTATAATCAAATGTCACGGCACGCCACTGACAATTACAATATTCTCCCTTGTTATGTATAGGTTCATAAGAACCACAAAAGTAAAATAGAACATTATTTTATAAATATTCTATTTTTAAATCATTAGGCTTGTATTAAATTAATTAACAGATTAAAAGTAATTGCAAAACATTACGTCACATGGTAGATGATCGAGCAATGAAATGATAATATTTAAAAAATAGGCTATAATTTTATAAATACTTAATATTTTTAAATAAAAACCTTCAAAAGGACACAAAAAACATGGTCAGCTCTCGAAAGAGCTATTAAACATATGCAAACTCCTAGATTTTCCGGTAGCTTGGAGTCAGGAAAATCTCTCTTGTTGTAAATCTAGTGGAAAAAATGCTAAATTTCAGGTTGCATAAGTCCAGAACGATCCAACAAATTTATTCAAAATTTAAGACTTCTATAGTGCTCATCATAGACACTAAATATTTTAAATTTCATCCAAATCAATTTGTTGGTCTTTAAGACATTAATAGTCCAATTTGGCACTCTAACATTAGACGTGTGCTGAGCTCTACTATTGAGCACTACCACACTCTATGACAGTGTTCCGCAACTGGTGTGCTGTCACAAGGTGTAAGGTGGGACATGAACTTTTACATATTCTATTAATTTCAAGCTTTATTTATATATTTTTATCACAGTTGCTGTGCTTCTTATGCTTGTATTTCAAGTGTTATCTCATAAGTGCCGCAGCACTTATGAAATAAGATGATGTTCGTTTATTCTTTATTACAAGCCATGCATTTTTATGTATTTTAAGAAATTAAATGTAAAATAAATTTGCTCACAGGTGTTGTTGTCTGTTTAATAATAATAATAATAATGATAACAGTTACTCATAGATTCAGTCATTTTACGGCAAGCACACAAACAACACAGAAACATACACATGGCATATATAGACTACAGAAAAGCATTTGACAGTGTTCCACACAGTTGGCTGCTACATATTCTACACATGTACAAAATACATCCATCACTCGTTGCATTCTTCGAAAACACTATGCAGCACTGGAGAACCTCACTGCATCTCAGGGTTAGTAACACTTCCATACAAACAAATGAGATATTCATTAGGCGAGGAATTTTTCAAGGAGATTCCTTGAGTCCTCTCTGGTTCTGCCTAGCCCTGAACCCATTATCCAACATGTTAAACAACACGCATTGCGGCTACAATATCAGACATGGAAAAACAACACAGTTTACACTGTCATATCTCATGCACATGGACGACATAAAACTTTATGCATCCACACAAAAACAACTTCATCAACTCCTACAAATCACACATTCATACACTAAGGACATACAAATGGAGTTTGGCTTAGACAAATGCAAAAAACTTCACATAGAAAAAGGAATCCTGAAGAAAGAAGATTTTGCACTTGGAAATGGAGACGTTATTGAATCCATGGAAGAGGGCGAGTTCTACAAGTACTTAGGATTCCAACAGGCCAAACTAACAGAACATACACAAATAAAGCAACGATTAATTAAAGAATACCAAAGTAGGTTAAACGCTATACTTAGAACACAGTTAAATGCAAAACACACAGTTAAAGCAATAAACACATATGTCATCCCAGTACTCACATACTCTTTTGGAGTTATACATTGGACTCACACAGATCTCGAGCAACTCCAAAGGAAAACAAGAACAACACTTACTAAGCATAAACAACATCATCCTAAATCCGCCACAGAAAGATTAACCCTTCCACGTAAAGAAGGCGGACGTGGCCTGATTGACATAGTTAACCTTCACTACAAACAAATACAGTCACTGCGAGAGTTTTTCTACAAGAAACAAGAAACATCACAGTTACATAAAGCAGTAACTCTAGCAGACTCAAATAACACACCATTAAACTTACACTCACAACATACAGACATGACACAACATATAAAAAGCATAGACAACATTAAGCAATCATGGGCTCAAAAGGCTCTCCATGGCAGGCATCCTTACGACCTGGCCCAGGATTTTGTTGACAAAACTGCGTCAAACAGCTGGTTAGATCGGGGATGCCTCTTTGGGGAGACGGAAGGATTCATGATTGCCATACAGGATCAGGTCATAAATACTAAAAACTACAGAAAACACATACTCAAAGATACAACACTCACAAATGACACATGCAGAAAATGTCACATCATGCCAGAAACTATACAACACATCACTTCTGGTTGCAAGCTCTTGGCACAGACAGATTACTTACATAGACACAATCAAGTAGCAAATATAATACACCAAGAGCTTGCAAAGAAACACAAATTGGCAGACATCCACGAACCATACTACAAGTATATTCCACAGACAGTATTGGAAAATAACACGCACAAAATGTATTACGACAGAGCCATAATCACAGATAAAACAATTTACCACAACAGACCAGACATCACACTCATTGACAAACACAATAAAATCACATACATTATAGACATAGCCATTCCAAACACTCACAATGTACAAAACACATGCACTGAAAAAATTAGCAAGTACACAGAACTCGCCCAGGAAATAAGGCATCTGTGGAGGATGGATAGGGTAGTTATTGTACCTGTTGTTCTCTCCTGTACAGGTGTGATACCACACACGCTACACAAAAGCCTGGGAACATTACAATTGAGTAGAAATACATACATCACACTACAGAAGGCCACTATATTGAATACATGCCACATTGTTAGGAAATTCCTGAATATAGACACACACACTGACACACTTATTTAATTTTAGTTTTGTTTTGGTTGCTATGCCTTGACTTTGGTCCGGCATAGTACACAGCCACCGGTGTGAACCGAGTATAACTCAAAACATAACAATAATAATAATAATAATAGGTTAGTGACATTACGTGATTCTATTAATAGTATCATATCATACGCTTTTGAGGGGAATAACATTTTGGTGTGCCATGTTGAGACATGTTGAGTCATGGGTGTGCCGTGAATAGAAAAAGCTTGCGGAACACTGCTCTATGATATGTATGTTATGTATCTAGATCTATCTTTTCACTGAGAAAAGAGCATCCCATTTTATTAAATTATACTTTTTACTGGAGAAGTACAAGTACAATTACAAATATCAGCCAGACACCTCTCCAATTTCACATGCATAACTTTATTTATTACTGTATTAATTGGAAAAAATAACTATGAAATGGGAGCATATATACACAAAATAAATTAAGTATATAACTTAAAATTTTGCAATTTTAAAATTACTTACATTCCAGGATCAACTTGAACATAATCTGTGAAACCAAATATTCCATTCTGTTCATTGACGGAGAAGTTAGACTTAAGTTCAGTGGTTTTGTCATTTAATGACAAATAAAATGTAATTGTTGAATTTATTGGAGGAATTAGACTGGAGGCAAAGAGAATACGTATTTTAGATTCACCTTTATCTGGTTTTTCAAATTTATCTGGAACCTACAAATAAAAATTACACTGTACTATAGAATTGTATATAAATGTATTTTTGTTGCAAAATTCAACTCTGGGAAATTTAAAATATTATAAGCTGTCATTGGCATTGATTTATCATTCTAATCATTTAATTTATAAGCCAATTTGAATCTACATTGTGTATAACTTAATATCTGAACTAAATGAATTCCTATGATTAAGTCATATTAACAATTGTTATAAATTTATAATTCAACTTCAATTTTAAAATAAGTTTTTATTTTCCTTATATTCTGTATTTGATATATATAGCTATGTATGGAATGCAGAAGCTACATTTATACACAGTGTATCAAATGTAGCTTTACAACTTTCATACAGTACATTTATCCTAGTTATATAGTTATGTAACATTTTGCTACAACCAAATATTTTAAATTTTGCTGACATAAAGTTCAATATGCCTTTCACTTATGATTTGGACATCCTGTCTATAATTAACCTCTTCCTACACACATTTGAGGCTTTATAGTTGCAACTGCAATGGCAATTCTTTCTCCATTATGACTTTCTGGCAAGGGTAATGTATAGATTACTCCAATGGATCAATGGAACAAATGGAACAGATTTGTTCCAATGGAACAAATCTCCAATGGAACAATCTCCAATTCCAGTGTAACTCCTCTGGATTACACTGGAAAAATCAGTTAACCACAACACATCATTGCAGAAACAACATGAGGCAGTTTTATCATACACACATACATCTTCCATATTAACCTCATTGATGAAGAAAAGTGGAGCCAATTCAAAGTGAAAGCCATGGTATTGGACCAATTTTACAAATTCATCAAAATAAATTTTCCTTTTGCTTAATCTCACAGTGTTAAAATGAATTTGTCATTATAGCAGATTTTTAAATTTTTTGTTTTTATTAAAAAAGTATTAATGCTAATGTGGCTGTCAGCCATAATATTGTATCTATGTATTTATTAATTTAAGTAAGTTTTAGCCTTTTTCTTTGTTCCTTTGTTCTAACTTCTTCTAGAACTTTCCTTTCCAACCCTTTTTCCCTGTGAATGGGATTACCGATTTGGAAAAACCAGAAAAACAAAAGAGGAGATAAGGCCATGGTGTGGGTGAAAGAATTGGACAATACATTCTTGGTTGAGCTCTTGAAAAGAGCAGATGTGTGAAGGTAGGACAAGGCGCAAGTAGGACGTCTGGAGACTTCAAGGAGCCGAGAAGTTTATAAAGAAGAATTTCTGATGGTAACTGTGAAAGAAGATACTAAATTAGTATTGGACAAAAATGTACAAAAAAGAACAACTAAAGTCTCAGAGAAAAGTTTGAAGTGGTGTCCCACCCAAGATTGCGAAGCAAAGAAAAACCCCGGTATTTCAATCTTCCTCTTATTCTATCAATCTTCGTCTACTGCCCTTCCTATTCCTTAGTTGTAAGTTAGTATATAAATATTACTTGTAAATTTCGGCCCATATATAGTTGTCTTGCTAATATATTTCATTGTTTGTAAGCCAGTAGAGTAATACCTCAACTTACACTACCCCTACTTATGTGAACCTGGAGTTACGCGATTTTCAAATCTATTCAATTCGTCTTTTGTTTGAGCACCATGCAACTCTTGATTACTCACTCCCCCCACACTATTGTTCAGCTTATATGTTCGGACATGTCGCGCGGAATCGACGCATAGCTACAATTTATTTTGTGTTATTTATTTCTGTGTTTATTATATCTATGGAGACTTGAGAGACTCTACTGTGTCATCTAAACAAAGTAGAACTGATTCTTCTGCATCAAACAAGAAAAGGAAAACTTTATCTTTGGAATGTAAAGTTAACATTATTAAAGACTTCAATACAAAAATGAAAATTTGTGAATTGGCAAAGGAGTTTGATCTACCGGAATCAACGGTCAGAACAATTATAAAAGGTAAAAAAAAAAATTCTCAAAGCTGTAAAAAATGCTCAGTCTTTAAATTCAAGCATCATTCGTAAACGTCACGACATTATCCCTGAGATGGAAACAATGTTAAAATTATGGTGTGATAATCAAGTAAATGTGAAAAATTGTATAATAATATAATTTGTCATACATATATATTATCTAAGATTTTATTAAACATTTTTTTCTAAGTTACAGTAGAGTGTCGTTTATCCAAAAGTCGGTTATCCGAAAGAATTCCTGTTGGCAAATTTAAATTTTCGCTAGTGCTGTGGCAATCTTTGCTATCTTTGGCTATGTCTTGGGCTACTCAAATATTTTACGTTTTTGATACTAAATTAACTTCTGAAGTATAATTTTTTATTGTTTTTATATTTTTCAATATATTTATTTTGTTTGTACAAACTAAAGAAATAATTTTTAGCGATACAATAGGCACGATTATTATTTTAAAAAGTTTATGTTAGGCATAACATTGACGAAAATCCAACGCAAAGCGACATGCAACGGAGAAAAATTTCAACACGGGATAGGTTAATATATTTTTTCGTGCGTAATTGGTTATCCGAACAACCCCAGTCCCCAATTGATTCAGATAAACAACGCTCTACTGTATTGTTTTCTTTAATCTACAGCCCCAATTAAAAATTATTTGTATGTATTTATATGCGAAATTATACCCCGACTTACATGAATTCTACTTATGTGGTTATCACTCGGTCCCACCTATCGCATAAGTTCGGGGTATTACTGTACTTAATGCCTTTTTGTAAAGAAAGTATTTATGGAGTTGGGATCTTAAAGAACCTGTTTGTAAGCGAAAATAAAATACTTTGTTTTGGGAAGTCTGTCAAGTATTTATTGTACTATTCCGCTCGCTGGTCTACGTACTTGTCATTACAAACATCACACTAATTTATCCCACAAATCCATACTTTCATATTTACAATTGGTTTGTGGTTCCGCTTTTAACTGAACAAATGAATTTTATGATTATTTATCAATTTTATGTAACATATGAAATAATTATTTTATTTTGAAGATTTTATATTCATTATTAATTAATTAAAGAAAATTTAAAATAGTCAGATTAAAATAAATTTGACTTTTTAGACTTACTATCAGTATGAATGGTATATCTCATATTTTCTTTTACATTTTCAAGAGAATATGAGATAGACTGGTTTCAAGATCTAATATCATCAGATACTTACGATACTTGTCAATATCACACTAAAGTATTGTAAGAATGTAATGATTTTGAGATCATAGAAACACTGACAATTATATAGTTACAAATTAGAAATTCACTCATCAAAAACAGCTAGAGAAAACATAACTCTAAATTTACATTGAACCTATTAATTTACAAAGAATAAATTTTTGTTTACATATAGAACTATTTGTTAACATTAGACATTTGAATGAACTTAATTTGATATCCCTGATGCATTTAATTTATATATATATTTGAAGTGCATAATGAAAAACAGAGAAATCTAATATGCAATGTTAATAATTGCAATTTCTTGAAACTGATTAATTATTTTGTTACTGAATCACTGATTAATTATTTTGTTTCAATTATTGATGTAATAAATGAATGTTATTTTTCTTTTAACTAAATAGGATAAATATCTATATTTGTGTTTATTTTTCAAATAGTTAAGAATTTATCATATTTTTGTTTTCGCATATAGTTCTTTATATATATTTAATAAAGATATAATTGTATAAATCTTACCTCATAAACACTTAGATGATTATTAATATCTGTAATCATCATCACTCTCACAGGTTCTGCATCACTTGTAAATAAATTATAAGATAGTGAATTTGTTTTTAAATAACTGCAATTAGTAGCAAAAAATTCCATTTCATGTGAGTGATTGGTTTTAATATCTTTCAGATCTATCATCTATTTAAATAAGAATAAGAAAATTTAAAATAATTTATTCCATAAAAGACACAGCAGATTCCATCATTAATATAAAACTTCAATTTAAAATAAGTGAATATTAAAAGATTATTTACCTCAACAAAAGAAACATTAGACAGAGAACTACTTAAGCTTATATTGCATGGCAAAGTGTTAATCACTGATACTTGGGATAAACCTTCACTTGGTAAAACTGGTAAAGATTTCTTAAAAAATAAAAAAATAATAAAATTTTTTGTAAATTATTTTTACATTATTATTTATTAAGAAATATTATAATAAAATTTAAAATAATTGCTTTTAAAATAGCTTTTTATTGTGATAATAATAATAATTCTCTCAAAAGTCACTGTCTTTTTGAGATGAGAGAGCTCAGTAGCTTCCAATATATCATAAAGCAGTGGTTCCCAATTAGATTTTCCTGCGTACCACTTTAAGAAAGAGATTAAACTCACATACCCCTTATAGCAGAAATTCATATTAATCCACACTAATATTATAAATTCAAAGGTAATTCTGTCTGTCTGTCTGTTGCCTTTTCACGTGTAAACCACTAAACAGGTTTTAATAAAATTTGGCACAGAGATAGCTTACATGTTGGAGATGGACATGGGCTACATTTTACTGCGAGAAAATATCTTACTTCCACGAGAAAATTCGATATAATGTGGGCGAAACTGTGGGTAGACAGCTAGTGATAAATTGAATAAGTTTTTTTTACATTTATTACCTTTAAAATACAATTCTAATAATAATGAAAATAACATAAGGTTATTTAATTTTAAAAAATAGACATATAATGACTGTTTTCTAAATGTTTAATGTTTATAATTTTGAAAAAATTTAAGCATTTGAAGTCTTATTTGTATCTATACCATATCATAATGATGAGAAATAAATAATCTAAATATAAATAACTAAGGGTTTTTAATTAAATCAGATGAATAAGAAATTAAATTCTAATTCTCAGATAATATTTAACTTATATAAGGCTCAATTAAGTAACTTTTTTGGAAATTTAAACATACAAATAAAAATTATTGTAGTAATAATTATTTAAATACCTCTAATGCAATTTGCACAAAAGCAGCAACAATAAAAGCAGCACTTGCCAAAATGCCTCCTGTTGTTATCCTTTGAAGTGGTCTAAAATTATATATTATATTAGATTTTCACTAAAATAAATATAATAGGGAAATTGACTGCATAAATTAAAGAATAAAATCATTATTAACTTTATTCAATTCCATTAAATTATAATCTAAATATATAAAATTACTTGTCCTGACTGACTGAGTGATTGACTGATTGATTCATCATTGCCCAGAGAAAACTGTTGAACCCAAAGAGGTGAAATTTGGTACACAGTTAGGGTATGTCATGAAAATGCACACTAAGAAGGGATTTTTTGAAATTTCCCTGGTGGGAGAGAGGGAAAGGATTAAGACTTAACCTGAAGAATGGCTTCTATTACTCAAAAAAACACAACACCTTAATTTGCTGAGAAAACTTTTAATGAAAAGCTAACGTTTTCAGCCAACTCTATTGGCCATCATCAGGCTAAGCTTTTTCGAATACGAAGAAAATAGAACAAAAATTTTTAAATACAAAAAAACAAAATAACGAACGAAATATATATATATAAATAAATGTATAAATAAAAATAAAATAAAATAAAAACT